ACTCATATCAAGTTGTTGCAAAGAGGAGAGACGAGAAATCCACTGAATGTCATCATCAACCTTCAATCTCCCATAATAATATTGAGAAAGATCAAGAACACGAACTCTTGTAAGATTTCCAAGTTCACTAGGAATTCTTCCTGTGAACTGTGCATAAGAGAGATTTAGGTACCTCAGCTGCTTCATCAAGCCAAAGGAGGGTGGAATAAGATTACCACCGAAATTATTTCTGCTCAAGTCCAGGTGTTCCAAGTATCTTAGCTTGAGCAAACTTGAAACAACCTTCTCTACATCATCAATTATGTACAATTGATGAGATTGTTGATCATCAATAGAGTACTGAAGAAATTGATCAGATATTGATCCCCTGAGTTGAAGAGAGATAACATATCCATTATTTTTGTCACAGTCGACTCCTCTCCATTCACAACAATTATTGCCTTTCCAAGAAGATAACATATGCGATGGATCATGGAAACAAAGTTTGAACTTCAAGAGGGCTTCTCTCTCCCTTTCTATACGGCTAAAGCTCGTGTTCCAACCAGAACAAAACTCTGCAGCTCCAGAGAACAATACAACAACTAGCACAAGCATAGCACGGAAAGTTTCCCCCATAATGATGGTTTTAATATTGTATGGAAGATGAGATGTGATTTTTAATTTTGGTTGTACATTAATATATAATCCCATCGATAGGCAAACAAAACACCTTTCCCCGAAGTTACACTAAAGATAGAGAATCCGAGTAAGTAATTAAAAATACGTAGCCTATTTTTGTATTTCGATAATGACCGCTCGAGCGCGTTTGCCAAGACTGGGATGTCTTTTTGGTCGTTGGTGCCTTAAAGTCAATTTAATTAATGCTTTCATTGTCCTTTTGCCCCACCATAACAATAATACAGCTTTTTACAAGTTTTGTGCTACTGTTGTGCAACGGCAAGAGGGGAAAAGTTTGAAAAATGGCTTTCAATTCTTGGAGATATCTATGGTTCGTGAAAATTCCTTCTCTTTTTACCAATCATGGAAATTTTTGGTC